AGGGGAGAATATATGCAGGGGGGGCATACACACATATACAGGGGTGGGGCACATGCAGGGGGCCATGCATGCATGCGTGGGGGCAGGGCGCATGCACAGGGCCCGTGCGCACATTGCATTTTTGGGGTTTGGGCACATGTGCATTTGCACACGCACTTTGGGCACTTGGTCTGGAAAAGGTTAGCCATCACTGCCCTATACCATTCTGGACAAATGGCTGTCCAATCTCTTCTTGAAAACCTTCAGTGATGGAGCACCCACAACTTCTGAAGGCAAGCCGTTCCATTGGTTAATTGTTCTAACCGTCTCACTGAAGAAAAGAAATATATCAAGCATTCTCTTAAGAGCGGAGGGTAGGTGGTGCAGTTGCAAGTTTTTAAAAAAAACCAAGAGTCACATGGCATGGTAACATAGAAAAGAGATTACCTGAAAAAGGAAGAGGTACTGAATATTAAAACATTGCTGATGGGGATGGAGAATTGGAATTCTTCCAAGGGCACCTTGTATGCCAGCAACAGCCCTGATGAAAGCAATGGCAGGAAGAATAGGCCTGAAACACACTCTGATTTGAGAATGAACCTAGTGCAAATTTGAATACAATCGGTCCTGAAGGTACCCAGTTTCATCCATCAGTTCTCTTTGCAGTATTTCCTAGATAAGAGCCATCTATTCATCGAGTTTTCTAAACATGGGACTCATTATTTGTTAAATTTCTTTGCCGTCTATTTCGCTGTGGGGCTACTTTAGGTGAGCAGCCTATTCTTCAACTTTTAGTTTTAGCTTTTTAGCTTTGGTTGACGAATAGGCCAAAAGAGTGCGGTAAATAAAGATTCTTGGGTTAACAAATTGTCAGTGGTACAATTAAACGCGCTGTCAAATTTGTCAGCGTTGAAATTTCTCCTCCATATTTAATTCACCTGGCCTTGTTCCCAAAATGGGAATCAACACATTAGCTGTTTTCTGTTGTTTTATTTGGCTATTTTTCAATTTCATGCAGCTACTGCCTAGTGAAATCCAAAGGTATTTTACCCTACCTCATTGTTTTAATTAGGTGCCTAGGGATAAATTTGGGATCCATGTACAGCATGCTCCAAACTATATTATTTATTGTTCTACAATATTACATTGTAATTCCTTCCCTTGTCGTCACAGTAGGATTCCTGACACAGACATCATCCATGTTTTGTGGGTATGTATCAGGGGTGAAATGCTCCCAGTTCGGACTGGATTGCCCGATCTGGTAGCCAAAGAGGTTGTACAAAAAATGCTTTTAAAAGTAAAAAAAAAAAAAAAAAAAGTTGGCCACGCCCACCAGTCACATTTCTCCCACTAAGCCATGCCCACAGAACCGGTAGTAACAAATTTTACATTTCACCACTGGTATGTATATCTCTGTCTCTTCCTCCTCCTCTACCTCTACCTCTATACATACATACATAGATACAAAATGCACACTCACACACACATTAATTTTATAAAATGGTTTTTAACCTTGTGTATTTTATATATTTTAGCTTTTAAAATTATGTATTCCACTCTTCTTATGATGATCTACGATCGTAATAAAAGATTTGATTGATGTGTTCTATTATGATCCATACTAGCATCTTATGGGCAAAGCATGAGACGACTCAGAGACATCTCTGTGGTTAAGATAAATTGGTGATCTTGAAGAGTATCTTAAGAAACATACTGAATTCAGAAAGCATTTTTACATGCTACAGAGAGTCAGATGCTATAGTAAAGAGGTGGTGATTTGTTGACCTAGAGGGCAGTTAATGAAAGGAGCTGAAAGTTACAGAGGGAAAAAAATGCCAGCATTAGAATTTATGATTGAAACTCTCCTAGTTACTTGGAATTCCCAAAGAGTGACAGTGAGGGAAAAGCAACAGAATCAAGATCTGCTCTCATTTCTACTTCTAATGGACAAGGATGAATTTGATTTAGGAGAGGGTCTTGATTCAATGGAAGACATGTTTTGCACGATGATCCTGTCTCAATTCCAAGGAACTCTAAAATTGGCAAAATTACTCCTTCAAAATCTGCCGAGCCACTGTCAGGTCAGGTGTAGTTTATTGGGTTAGATTAGTCAATCCTCTGACTTGATGTAAATTCCATCCATGAGATGTCCATATTAAATCCATTCTGCTCCTTTTTGTATTAACCTGCACAAAAGAAATTATTCTACATTAATTTTCCATGCCTGCCCTATTCTATTGTGGACAAATGGCTGTCCAATCTCTTGAAAACCTCCAGCGATGAAGACCCACAAATTCTGGAGGCAAGCCCTGATATCTATATATATCAGCTGCATTGTAAAAATCAGGATTGTAGCAAAGACAAACTCTACCTATCCATGTACTTATCCTATAAAGTTGGATACAATTAACTCTGAAATCACAGCCTGAATATCTAAAATGTCCATAATAAGGTATATAGAACCAATGGGAACCATGTGAAATCTCTTACTGTTGTTTTCTTGTGACACGACTGCATGTTTACCCATCTGCCCGTTCTCCTAGCTTTTTCAACTTGCAAAACTGTGCCTTGTATCTGATAAAACTTGTACAAATGGTATGATGACTAAAGCCTCGTAAAATATTACTGGAAAGACATCGCGATAATAAATGTAGTTTTTTTTTCTCCTGAATAGTAAATTATAGCCCATATATTTGTTGTTCTTATTCTCAGAAGGATTTAATGTGAGAATATGTTGGGAGCTGTAATTTACAGCCAAGAAACAATTTATAGTAAATATTTTTTTGTAAAAAAAAATGCTTGTAGTGTTGTTTCCCAATATTTAATCATGGGGGTTTAGAAACACAATTGAATTCCTCCCCTCTGAAATATTTCAAAAGTACAATGCAAAATTGTAGGCACATGGGACTTCTGGGCAACTCTTTGCACCCTATGTTTAAATTATTATACACCAGGTGCGAGAGACAAATGATTAAATCTCAAGCTTCCCTCAATTCCTGCTATGCTATGTTCTTTCAGTCTGCTTCACTCAATTTTATGCATCATTGGAAATGCGTTATAATTCTCTATAACATTTTTCCTTGAATTCTGAGATATTAAAATTTATATCCTAGTCTAAAATATCCATTTACTGCAAATAATACTCTAAACAATATAGATACAAGGGCGGATCCCACAGAAAACTCAGGTCTATTCTTTATTTTCCCATGTTCTTTCTAAAAAAAAAACCCCCAAGACATTATCCTAGGATTTAATCAAATCAAATCAAAGCAAAACAAAATTTCTTCCCTTGATCATTTTCCTGTGTGATTCATGCTCTGTCTCCATGCAACCCAGTTTCTAACTTTAGCATTGACCTCATAAAGAACTGAATGAGCCAGTGTGGAACTGACCCTTTCCCTAATTTTTCTTAGCCATAGAGAATAACCCATGACTGAGAAAAAGCTCCCCGGCATCCTTTTTTTGGAGGTTAGTCCATGGAGCACAAATTTGTGCCACAAAAATTCAGTAGTACACCATCCAAGGGCATGGCTAGCCTAGTGAAGAGAAGGACCAGGGGAGACATCAGAGGTGGGTTTCAGCAGCTTCTGACCAGTTCTGGAGAACCGGTAGCGGAAATTTTGACTAGTTCAGAGAACCAGTAGTAAAAATTCTGACTGGCCCCGCCCCCATCTATTCTCTGCCTCCTGAGTCCCAGCTGATTGGAAGAAAATGGGGATTTTGCAGTAACCATCCCCTGGATTGGGGAGGGAATGGAGATTTTACAGTATCCTTCCCCTGACACACCACCAAACCACGTCCACCAAGCCATGCCATGCCCACCAAGCCACACCCACAGAACCGGTAGTAAAATTTTTTGAAACCCGCCACTGGAAGACATGATAGCAGTGTTCCAATATTTGAGGGGCTGCCACAGAGAGGAGCTATTTTCCAAAGCACCTGAAAGCCAGAGAAGGAATAATGGATGGAAAGTGACCAAGGAGAGATTCAACCTAGAAATGAGGAGGAAATTTCTGACAGTGAGAACAATAAACCAATGGAACAGAAGTTGCCTTCGGAAGTTGTGGGAGCTTCATCACTTGAGACTTTCAAGAAAAGACTGGACTGCCATTTGTCAGAAATGGTGTAGGGTCTCCTGCTTGAGTGGGGGGTTGGACTAGATGACCTATAAGGTCCCTTCCAACTCTGTTAATCTGTTAATCAAGTAAAATTGGTGGAACTTCGGTCCGTATTTGGATGGGAATCAAGTCAAAGAAGTATGTTAAATATTCAGAGCTTAATATAGCGCCCACCACTTAAACAATGTATATTGGTATAATGGTTGAAATATTCATGGAGTAATTTTTTTTCTCATTCAACTCAACTTTTTTGGGGGGTGGGGATTGAGAAGTGGGATATTCTATTTATTGGATGAATGAGTTATTTATTTAATGGAGGAAGGATATTAAAAATATCCACAAATAAATTGGGATGAAGGAAGTTCTAGTTTCCCCCAGCAGCATGGTATGATCATGGTACTTCCACATACCTTAAGACTTTTAGCTATCATTTCTTTAAAAAGTGGGGCAAAAAATGCCCTTCAAATCTACTTTTGTTCCAACCTAAATTGCATATTGCAGATGGAGTGGATGGCCTTAACAAAGCCTAAATTTGGCAAGAAAATCTTTTGTAGCTGTACAGGAAGATCCTTGTAATCATAGTTCTGCTGCAGTCACCTAAAATTATTTCCCACGTTTCTTATGAAAATAAAGACAGTTTCTGTCACCTGAAATTCTCCATGCTCAACTCTATTGAAAATGCAACAATCTACTAGCTTTAATTACAGCTTTAAGTTTCCTGATCTTGTTTGCTCTTTATGATTCCAAGTTAGAATAAGAATCCCTTAATAGTTATGCTTGCTCTAATTACACACTGTGTACCTTCTTGATAGGGATGTTAAGCTGCCGGAAACCTTTGCCAAACTTCTGAAGAACATTTCTGCAAGAGAGGAGCAGGGGAAGCACAGAAATGCACCAATTTAGCAATACATTGAATCGTTCAACTACTTGACATCAGCCATGTTCAACATTGCCAAAAGGTAAAATTAATTTTTTTTTAAAAAACTGGACTTCACAACATGATGTTCCACATACTCTATTCCAAGGTGTTGGGTGGATGAGGCCAGGAGGAAAACGAAGTTCTATTTCACTGCATTTGGACTTAATTAAAAATTAAATAGCCATAGCGTGTAGACTTATAAACTGCTTCACAGTGCTTTACAGCCCTCTCTAAGTAGTTAACTCTGTCAGCATCTTGCCCCAACAAACTGGGTCCTCATTTTACCAACCTCGGAAGGATGGAAGGCTGAGTCTGTTGAGGATCGAACTTCAAATTGTGGGCAGAGTTAGTCTACAATGCTGTATTCTAACCACTGCACCACTCAGGGCTTCTTAAGTATCATTAGCACAGGTCTTCAATCAGTATCTCTTCTGTCCCACTAAAATTATAATTTTGAGGAAAGTTCTGGGAGGCCCACTTGAGAGTCTTAGAGGCTATTTAGTGGTTATGGTCTTTCAGCTAATGCACTTACGAGAACATTCATAGGAGAGGCCAAGAAAACAGCTGCAACTGCTTAATTGTATCCTCGCTCCTTTCTACATTTGTCACACATAAAAAGGGTGCTTTGATAGCATGATTATATGCTTATGGCCACCATCCAGATTTTCCTTTTGAAGCATGCTGCTTTCTTTTGGACATTCCTGCTTCTGCCTTACAAAAAAAAAAAAGACATAAGAGTGAACATATTAAACCACTTTAAGGTTTCTTTCCTTCTGATCCTCTACACTTGCATTTTTGTCCCTGCTTTTCCATTCTCACTAAGATTGATCTTTTCTTAAACCCAACTTGTAGCTTGTTTAAAATTCTTCTCGTTTACACTCTGCAGGACTTTTGTTAAGTGCTTAAATTGCAATAAGTACCGTGAATCAGTTTATTTAGTCCTATTCTTGTCCAATGTTACTAGCTCAGCTTCTTGATAGCTATATCACATATTCCCTCTCTTGATGTTTTTATGATTTCTTCTCCATTATTTGCATTGTCTTGATATAAAGCTTACCCATGTATAACTAATATGTAAAATGTTGTAGGGAGGGAGGTCCCTTTTCAAGAGGCAACTGGATTTTCTTTGTTTTTCCTTGAAGTCATTTCGCTTCTTATCCAAGAAGCTTCTTCAGTTCTGACTGAACCTTAGCCATTCAGAATTGAAGAAGCTTCTTAGACAAGGTTTGGTTTGGTTTGGTTTATTTGATTTGTATACCGCCCTACTCCCGAAGGACTCAGGGCGGTGAACAGCCAAGCAATAAAATACATAAATACACAAAATTTAAAAACCAGATAAAATCAAATTAAATCATTTTGGCCCGGACAGATTTTGAAGACAGTGAAATGTCTTCAAGCAAAACAAAGAAAGTCCAGTTGCTTCTTGAAAAAGAACCTTTGGGACAACCATGACCTGAATAACTGAGAACCTCCATAGACATGTAGGGAGGAAGGATAAGCAAAAGTAAAAGGGAGAAGGGCCTGTGCTACATATCTCTTAGCTCCAGCATTTAAAAGAAAATCTCAAAATTTAAAATAAAGTATTATTGCTTTCTGCCCTCTTGGTGAGTGTTTCAAATTTCCTTACTACCCCAAACTTTGACACTGCCGAAAGTTACACTAGAACTTGCTGGAATTAAGGAATGTTATTTTCCAATATTTTCCAGGGAAGGGTGGGAAGGTCCACCCAATGTGTAGGGGAGGGGAAAGACATCAAAAGAAGCCCAAAATTCCACCCCTGTCCCCATGTATATAGAATTGTGGTCATGCCACGCCTTTCCCACCTTCTTGAGTTACTCAAGCAGACAAATGTTCAAATTCGATTTTTATTGTAAAGATCAGCAGCTGAAAATGAAGATAAAACCCAAAGATAAGATTAATAAAGTAGAATCAGTGAGCTGATTCTCTCTCTCTCTCTGCCATTCTACTGCTGAATCAGTGACCAGTCCAAACTATAACAGGTTTGTCACATTTATAATGGTTGTGGTTAGTTTTCACTGCAGCCACAAAAACACTGGACACAGTGTTGATGGAAGCATGATTGGTACTCTAAAAGAAGATGATGAGTGTAATACGTTTATGTCTTTCTGAGATTTTGCACAGTCCTGATGCAGACCCCTGTAAAATAGTGAAGCTGTACATATTGTATAATTTCCATGTTCCTAGGTGTGATCTGTTAATCAGGTTTTGGTAAATCTGCCCTGTAATGAAGCTGATGAAATACATTCTGCCTAATTGTAAAAAAAATTCTCTCCTTAATCTTGGGAAAATTAGTGTGTGTAAATACAGGTAGTCTTTGACTTAAGAACACAATTGGGATCAGAATTTTCATAGCTAAGCAAATTAGTTAAGTGAGCCGTGACCTCTTTTAGCACAGTTGTTAAGTGAATCATGAAGTCATTAAGCAAACCCAGCTTCCCCCATTGACTTTGTTTCTCAGAAGTTGACTAGGAAGGTCACAAATGGTGATCATGTCATCTGAGACACTTCAATCATCATAAATACATGCTAGTCGCCAAGCACCCAAAACTGGATCATGTGACTTCAAGTTAAAGGACTGTTTGTAACTTGTAACTTAAAACGGTTACTAAACAAATGGTTATAAGCTGAGAACTACCCGTAGCTTGCTGGTTGCCAGCTTCCTTTCATTATCAAGGCTCTGCTATTCCAGGTTACTAACTTCAGTCTGGCATTCAGTATTATTCAGGGTGTCTTTTTTGCCTAAACAAAACTGGATGATAGAAGTGAATCTATGGTGAGCTCATAGCATCTCAGTCTCTAATTCATTGTTAAGATCTATGGTGAGAGAGACGGTGTCCTTTCAAATTGGAAATAGGCCTTTAAGAAAGAATGTTATCTTCAACTAATTAATATGTTAAATGAATTGCCATGTCCATTTTGGGCATTCCCATCAAGTGCCTAATTGCTGAGTTAAGGACACACCTTGGATCTACAGACACAGATACATTGTTTGTATAATTTCAGAATATTTTTGTTCCTGTACTATAAAGCTCTTCCTGGGCTCCATGTAAAAGTTGAGCAAGGTTTTAGCCTCAAATATTTTTATGGTCGCAGTTATTAATTTCCTTGGTTTTGTATAAAAGCACCTTCTAGTAGCAATGGAAGATTTTGAAGCTATTTGGGCAATGAGTTCCTGGTAGGCTCTCCAGCTTCCTTGACCATGGAACACCACTCTCAAATATTTAAAGGTAAGGACCTATTCGATTTTATTTTCATTTATTATCCAAATGAACTGTTTGGTTTTCTTGTCAATCAAAACAGTATTGATTTTTAGCAATTCATAGCTGGCTTATTCACTTTCCTGAATTTAATGATGGGTTTTAAGGCCCTTTTAAGTCCAGTGGGAATTCATTGGACTGCTGCATTATCTGTGCTAAAGGAAGAGATTCTGCATCCAATAATTTTGGGAGCATAGAAGTCGAGGTCATTTAGGCAATTAGGCAAAAAGCGGTGTTTTTTGTGGGTTGAACAGTGCTGGAGCTCATATATAGCCCTCCCATGTGGATCTAAAGAGCCTCCCAGATGGAACACACCTCCCTCTGAGAGTGTACATGAAGACAGTTTCTAGATATAGAAAAGTGGGAGTTTGTCTATATTTGTATTTCAAAGACTTTTCTGCAGGATTCTTCATGAGATAAAGTCAACTTGAGGTTGAGAAAGAACCCATAAAGATTTTAATTTGTGCAAATGCTTTTGTGCAGCATAAGTTGATGGTATATGACCAGTATACGTTGATAGAGTACCAGTATATATTAATGGAGTACCAGTACGTGATCTATGGTGGTATGTTCTCTCTAGCTTGCTCTAATTCTGCCTTCAGAATTCTATTAATCTAAAAGCTTCTGGTTCAGGTGTTTAGAGTATAGCTTATTTATTATACTCAAAAGATGGATAGGTCTATAGTTGGCTAGCAACTATAGGGAGTCCTCACCAGCACAGTTGGTTTAAGCACTTCTGCTAGAGTAGAGCACCTGGAGTTTCCATAACCTATAATATATATCTATAATAACAGAGTTGGAAGGGACCTTGGAGATCTTCTAGTCCAACCCCCTGCTTAGGCAAGAAACCCTACACCACTTCAGACAAATGGTTATCCAACATCTTCTTAAAAACTTCCAGTGTTGGAGCATTCAGAGCTTCTGCAGGCAAGTTGTTCCACTGATTCATTGTTCTAAATGTCAGGAAATTTCTCCTTAGTTCTAAGTTCCTTCTCTCCTTGATTAGTTTCCACCCATTGCTTCTTGTCCTACCCTCAAGTGCTTTGGAGAATAGCTTGACTCCCTCTTGTTTGTGGCAACCCCTGAGATATTGGAACACTGCTATCATGTCTCTCCTAGTCCTTCTTTTCATCAAACTAGACATACCCATCCTGCAACCGTTCTTCGTATGTTTTAGCCTCCAGTCTCCTAATCATCTTTGTTGCTCTTCTCTGCACTCTTTCTAGAGTCTCCACATCATTTTTACATTGTGGCAACCAAAACTAATGCAGTATTCCAAGTGTGGCCTTACCAAGGCATTATAAAGTGGTATTAATACTTCACATGATCTTGATTCTATCCCTCTGTTTATGCAGCCTAGAACTGTGTTGGCTTTTTTGGCAGCTGCTGCACACTGCTGGCTCATATCTAAATGGTTGTCCACTAGGACTCCAAGATCCCTCTTACAGTTACTACTATTGAGCAAGGTACCACATATACTGTACCTGTGTATTTTGTTTTTCTTGCCTAAATGTAGAACCTTACTTTTTTCACCATTAAATTTCATTTTGTTAGTTGCATTTAACCATTTGAGGGGCAGCCACTTGTTTAGAGAGTTAAGAAACATTTTCAACTCATTTGGTTAAAAAAAAAAAATCTAAGGTCACAAAACTAAGAGGTGCTCAATTTTTAAACCTAAGCAATTTCAGTTTGTTAAAATCACAATATGATTCATGGATGCAGGATCACCAGCCACTAATGGTCTGTTTCATCACAGAACAGATCCTATTGTCGATAACTTTGTCCCGACGTCCACTGAAATTTGCTTCCTTGTAATTTAAACCTACTGTTTGTTGACATAACTTCTAAAACAATATTGAGCATTTTTGCCCTGTCATCTTCATAACAACCTTTCCGATACTTGTAGAGAGCTATCATGCCTCATTGCAGGCTTATCTTCTCCATACTCAATGTCATTTCTCTTCCTCACAAGGCAGAGCGGTTGAAAAGCACCAAGTTAGCACTCAGTGACGTTAGCTGCAGCACCCAGGAAGATATGCACAATCTGATTGCAACAAATAAATAAGCAATCCTATTAATTTCCCTTCTAGCAGATAAGTATAACAAAGGGCTAATAGTTTAAAATAAGCAGAGGGAGGATTTTTTTTGGCAATAATTTTATTAGTGTTCTCAAATACTGAAGACTAATAAAAACTCAGAAAAATATAAAAAGCAAACAACTAAAGTCATTTATTATTATTATTATTATTATTATTATTATTATTATTATTATTATTAATAAAATGTTGATGCTGCAATGAAGGTTCTTTCGGCGTGCAAGAGTAGAAAGTGAAAACACTGCTCAGAACTGAAAACAACTAAATTAATCAATATTTAGAAGTTAAATACTGTCCTTCTGTATTTTTAGTTGTTTATATTGAGAAGTTGGGAGTCTAATATCTGGATGTTGATATTTTGAATTATTCCTAAAGTAAATGATATGAAAGTCAGAAATATCTATCTGGAAATCAATGCATGGAAGCAGTTTACATGTGGAATATGTGCATCTCTTTAAATTCCCCATTTAATTTGCAGCAAAAACAAACAGGCATTTCCTAATCGGTCACCTTGTCCCCCTGAACTATGAAAACATTCTAAAATTAACAACAGTGAGAAATAACTGTTTTACTAGACAATGTTAGGATGTGTAATATAGTCCTAGTGCCTCAAGAAATAAAGGAGATGTAAGTAGAAAAACAAGGGACGTGGTGACTCAGTGGCTAAGATGCTGAGCTTGTCGATCAAAAGGTCAGCAGTTCAGCGGTTCGAATCCCTAGTGCCGCGTAACAGGGTGAGCTCCCGTTACTTGTCCCAGCTCCTGTCAACCTAGCAGTTCGAAAGCACATAAAAAATGCAAGTAGAAAAATAGGGACCACCTTTGGTGGGAAGGTAACAGTGTTCCGTGCGCCTTTGGCGTTTAGTCATGCTGGCCACATGACCACGGAGACATCTTCAGACAGCGCTGGCTCTTCGGCTTTGAAATGGAGATGAGCACTGCCCCCCAGAGTCGGGAATGACTAGCACATATGTGCGAGGGGAACCTTTACCTTTACCTTAAGTAGAAAAACATTTAGTCTTAGTCTGCTAACAGTCTGCTTTGCAACAGCTGAACTCTTCACTCTCATGCCTTAAAGGGGAAAGGGGGGGGGGGGAAACCAGAATTGCAGCAGGGAATAAAAACAATAATCAACTCCCCCACCCTTGTCACACTTCCCCAACCCTGATAATTGCAAAATGCCGAGAAGGTGATGAGTCCATTTACTTGGCAGTTCTAATTTCCTAGGCTTTTTGAATGTGATGTCCACAGGGCACGGATGAGATGGCAGCAGAAATCAATTTCCCACCTCTGGATGCAAGGCACGATTGTTGCCAATGACATTGATACTTCTAGGAACTGGTGGTGGCTTCACTGTTCCATAGTTCGATGCAATCCTATGCAAATAACATGCTTGTCTTTGCATGGGGGAATTGTTTATTATAGAAATGGAAGCATCTGTGCAGACTTGGGGCATATCCACACCGACTGTTTAAACTACTCATGCCTGACATAAGCAATCTTAGGAAAATCTAGTCTGGAGTGAAAAGCTCTGGGAGCAGTTTACAAGGTATTCTATCTTGGGACTGCAGGCTGCTAGATTTTCCCCCTGGACAATTATTTTGCTTCCTGAGTGTTCATTTCTTTTTAATCTCAGGAAAGGAATTACCAAGATTCCATTTCTATAGGCATGTTTACTCTGTGTGTAAATGTACATACATATAGATCTACATACACAAAACTAAACCAAATTTCTATGTACAAAGTCAAAATACACATACCTGCAGTTATAACCTTAAAAATTACTTCTGACTGTCCTGTTTCTAGATATAGGTAACAGTAACAGAGCTGGAAGGGATCTTGGAGGTCATCTAGTCCAACCCTCTGCTCACACATGAGACCTGTACTAGGGATTCGAACCTCCAAACTGCCGACTTTTCTGATCGACAAGCTCAGTGTCTTAGCCACTCGAACACCTAGTCATACTCTTGCTACGAATGCTAGCACAATGGCTCATCTGTAAGTAGACTTCACTGTTGTGAAACATGGTAGAAATATATGCATTTTTTTTCTTTTTTTCTGACCCTCCTATTTTTTCCTATGCTTTTCTTAAATAAGAAACATTTTAGTGGTGTATCATTTATCTGACACACCATCAATTATCTGAGGTAGCTTCCTTGCTCTCTAATAGCCCTTAGTGTTAAGTCTTCGATTTATATGCAGATCACTTATTTAACCAAAAAATGGGAGTATTTGTGAGTTTTCACTCTAGTGCATTATTTTGACTCTGCTCCATAGAACAAAATTCTTTTGCAGCTCTGTATGCCTGTTTTAAAATTTCCTTCCTTCCTTCCTTCCTTCCTTCCTTCCTTCCTTCCTTCCTTCCTTCCTTCCTCCCCCCTCCTTTATACAGTTATATTTTTGTATTGTGCCTTGTCCTTTTTTTTAAAAAAACAGCAATATTATTGCTCTTTTTTGTATGCTTTTATTAGTCCATTTAGATAGTAGAATAAAATCATGAAAACCTTAACTCAAAAACTTAGTCACATATTGAATTTCCATCTTATTGAAAATTATATTGGACTGAGAACTCAGATACCTGTAATATAAATGTAATATAAAGATGTACATGGGAATAAATCTTTACTACATCACATATACAGTACACACAGAAAGAGAGATGTAGGCTTGGAAACATATCCCTCAAGTAATACCAAAGTAATTCAGTTGCTGATAAATGTTCAGCTTGACATTTAACTCTACCTAGGCTGAAATTTCATTCCATAGTTGGCATTTAAATCTCATTCTGTATATATCGTCGGTGTTTTGCTTCCACAAATTTATTACTTTTTTAAAAAAAAGTTCATAAAAACCTTAACAATATTGTCTATAATAA